ACGTGATAAGGTAGCCCCGCCTGCGAACTTCAAAAGCAGTGTCTGCCCTTAGACTAAAAGGGAATTTCCTCTTGGTCTAATGGTCTAAAACAGGGTTACCCAACTGGTGGCATGCAAGACGAATTTGGCATGTGGGTGATTTTATTTGGCCCCCTGTTTTCTGAGCAAAAAAATCTATATTGTTTTTAGTTTTTTTAATTCTAATTTTTGGTTAGACATAAAATACTGTAAAAACACCAGGAAATTAGCTCCAAGTGATTTTAATTTTGGAAATCTGTTCCAAAGTACTCCCACGCATAATAGAGAGATGTATGTGATCGTAAACAAATGCAAGCAAGGTTTGGAATGATTATGTTTTAGACAAGTATTATATCTATTTGGGCTTCTTGCAAACAATTTGCAGTCTACAAATTATTTGTAATTATGTTCCGGCCCCCTGATCATCCATTCAATAAAAAATCAGCTTGTGGCTGAATCTAGTTGATGATCCCTTGTCTAAAACGTTGGATGCTCCTGTGGGAGACCTGGGTTCATATCCTGCGTGTTACATTGGCGCCCAACATGGGGCGGTCTCTTGTGGGGTGTGAATGTAGCGGACATGAGTTGCTCATGGTCATGTGATGAGGTAGCCCTGCTTGCGAACTTCAAAACCAGAGTCTGCCCTCAGACCAAGGGGGAATTTGATTTTGGTCTAAGAAGGTTACTCCTGTGGGAGACCCGGGTCCGTAAGTAAGCCCACCCCAAACGCATGCTTGTGTTTGTCCTAGCCAATCGAAGGCCCAATCAATAATAATAATTGGAAACGTGGATGGGAGTCTCTGCGTTAGCAGGGGATCAATAAGCAGGTGGCCCACGCATTATCAGCAATTAGCCCCTGGGATGATACAACTAGCCTATCCCTCTTACTGAGCCCTCCAGCCATCACTCCAATCAATTGTTGAAGTTGCACACCTATAGCTTTAGAAGAAAAGACATTGGCTGAGATCCAAATGGCACCCTATTCCATACATAGTGCACTATTTTGGGGAATAGGGTGCCATTTGGGACACAGTCATATAAGTCATTCAACAGCCATGGTCTTAAAGAAGCATAATGGAAAATGTAACCAGAATTGACCGAGGCACTGAAATGATGGGATGGATGGGACCTGACAATGGTTGTTTAATGGCTACTACTGGGTGGAGCCATGTTGTGAATGACAGGTGGATCGATGGATGTTTGATTGACAGATGGGAGGCATGCTGAGGGTGCAGGAGATAGAGTGAGATCGGTCATGCTTGGTTAACCGATTGGTTCGGAGAACTTTACAGACAGGGAAACAGAGGAAGGAGGAACGGGTAGCTACACAGGAAGGGAGATTTAGGAGAGGGGTGGTGGGATGCAACCTGGTCTCAGAACATTTCGTATTATTCTGTATGTAAATTCATCATCCCTTTCGTATGATATCTTATTAATTACAATTCGTATTATATGTTATGAATTTTCAAAACGTATGATATGTTACGAATTCTAGCTAGGTGGCTAACGTTAGCTAGGCTAGGGGTTAGGGTTAAGGTTAGGGTTAAGTTTAGGAGTTAGGTTAAAGGGTTAGGTGAAGGGTTCGCTAAAAGGGTTAACGGTTAGGGTTAGGGGAAGGGTTAGCTAAAAGGGTTAAGGTTAGGGTTAGCTAACATGCTAAGTAGTTACAAGTAGTAAGTAGGGATGTAGCTCAGTTGGTAGAGCATGACGTTTGCAACGCCAGGGTTGTGGGTTCGTTTCCCACGGGGGGCCAGTATAAAAAAAATAAAAGAATAATAAAAAAAAATAATAAAATGTAAGTCGCTCTGGATAAGAGCGTCTGCTAAATGACTAAAATGTAATGTAATGTAGTTGAACATTTCCTAAGTTGTCTGTGATGAGATTTGAACTCACAACCTTTGGGTAACCATACCAAACGTAACATATCATACTAAATGGACTGTGTTGGATTTACGAACAGAATAATACTAAATGTTCTGAGACCAGGTTGTGGGATGAATTCCAATTTAACCCCTATAGTCTCAACATCAACCCTATGCACACCTATGGATCTGAAGGGATCAGGTGGGTTTAAGCAATATACCATGAGATAGATTGGGTGTAGATTATAGCATATTGCTTCATACCTGTACAATTCTTCCAGATATACAAGTGCCTGGGGCCAGTGGTAGGTAGGGGTATGGGCTTGGGTTCGACTTGGAAACTCTAATTGGACACAAATTAACTGGTTACACTTCATTTTACAGCCCCACTATGTACTTAGTTTTAACTAAGAAATGACTAGGTCGTTACACCTACTGAATTCTTTGGACTACTATAAAGTACCCACTGTAGCCACATTTTGTTTTTGTAAATACAAGGTTCATAGAGCACAAACACTACTGTAAAAATGACTGTCATATAGGACTATAAAATCAAGGGTCACCCTCAAAACTAAAATGGTCCCATCCTCACCCCCCCCAGGCACTGTGCTGTACAGAATCCAAACAATCACCACCTGGCTTTTGTAATTAACTGCGGCCAGAATGGAAATGACATTGTCATTATTATCACACCGTGAGCTCTATTGGCATCCAATACATTTTAATGAGGGCAGATGTAACATGGGGTTGTGTCTTATGTTGTTCCCTGCGATATCTGGAGCCCCCTGCTTCTAATCAATGTATCTGGTGCTGTGTCTGTCTCGGTCTCCCCCTGCAGAGTTTGTCATGATGCTGTCATCGCGGTAGCCTGCCTCATCCATCAAGCAAAGAAACTAACAACATGCACTGGATGAGGTCTGGATCACCAAACAAGTGATATCATTCTTATGTGTCACTTCCCTGTAGTATTGTGCATAATTTCTGTATGAAATGATTTTGCATATTCATCAGATTTAGATCTGAATGCTTTTGTAGTGTATAGAGGTAGATTGTAAGATATCAATTCAGGTCAAATTGTTGCCTTTATTGATTTTTTTACAATAAAACTGGTTTTAGCAATGCAGCAGAGGGCGAAGGGTGAGTTATGAAACAAGACTAGTGTTTCATAGCCGCTACATAGCAGTGGTGAGTCTATGTCGCCACCTTCTGGAAGCATTCTGAACAACCAATAGAACAGATTGTATGTTATGGTAGAGTAGTGTGTAATAATGTGTTGTGTTATGTATTGTTTTATTGTATGTAAATTGTGATTGGACCCCAGGAAGAGTAACTGCTGCCTTGGCAGCTGCTAATGGGGATCCATAATAAATACAAATACAAACAGATTGTACTGAATGTACCAAGCATTTCCTGATGATGTAACACCCAATGCATAACACTAGGATCGGATGGTTACATGGACGATGGGTTACATTAAGTCCACTCATTACCATAATACCACTTCAGGCTTCAAGTTGAAAAAAATGAGTTCATTTATTATTGAAAATTGATAACTTAAACATTTGGAGGAAAAAGCATGATCTGTCCAAAAACAAAATGATTTAGGCGAAACAAAGCCGCGACTTGACATACATTAAACACACTGTGAACGATTCGAGCCATGAGGCGGCTGAAGAAAAGATAAATAATTAACACAAATATCATAATTACTAGTACTGCAACAGGAATGATAACCAAGCCGTCGCATAGTGCCGTTTAAAGCCAAATGCTAAAATGGTGTATAAGGCAAAAATTAGTCTGCGAAATCGACCACCCCAGATATATTCACCTATATTAGTCATTTTTCCAACAAAAGGCAGGCCGACTGCTACTGGACAACAAGGTGACCTATAACCCTTGCAGTGCTGAACGCAGATCATTGTATAGTTTTGTTACTTTTCTCCTTTTCACTGTGTCAAAATATTGCAAGTTCCCCTTTTTTGATTTTGTACATACAAACATACTGTCAAAATATATATTTATATATCTCTCCTTAAAAATTACATTGGATTTAAACAGGAAGTTGGAACTTTTGGCTTAGAAGAGAGACAGAAAATACAACACTCGAGTCACATGGATGACTTTTGAGGTTTCTCTCAAGAATCGATAACTTGGAATGGGAAACATCCCCAATGCAAAATCAACAACGCTTCCTAAGCTATCGGGATTCAAGAGGTTCCGTATCCACTGAGAAACAACAACAACAAAACCAAAACCACAGAGTAACGTATTTTGGAAGTCTGGATTTTTTGGAGTTGTGCCTTGTTTTTAGGTGAGAAAAAAAACAGTTAAGAGCACAGAAGTTGGGAGCGTTGCGACACCAGAGTCTCACATCTGTAGCTATACTACAGACTGGACTAAATGGTTGCCATGAGGGTTTTCTTTCTAAAGTCTTTGAAGAAAACAAAAAATTGACAAAAAATAAACAAAATCGGGAGACATTAATAAAAAATGGGGAACCTCTCTTTTTCATCAGAGTCCACCACCACTAGGTGGAAGCGGTGAAGGAAGTTGTGCGTTTAGTAGACATAGAGAAGTGACAGAGGGGCTTAATGCTCGGAAGAGTAAGATTCACACATTTTTGTTTTCAGTGTCGTAAGGCTGCACCATCCCACTTGCTGGGCTTTGTAATACACAAACAATTCTAGTACCCCCTCTCTCCATTTGTTACCACCAACCTTCTACAATTAATCCACCCCCTCCACCCAGCCCCTCCCTCTCTCAGTCTCAATTTCAGCATTTAGAATTTGCACCAAAGCACCGCCAACCCATAGAAACAAACACACATACACCAGCCCCCTCCCTTCTACCATCAACAGTGACCAAATAGAGACAGTGAGGCTGCTTGGGTAGTCTTGAGTAGACAATACAACGGAGACATCTCTTCACCAATCTCTCTCTCTTTCTTTCTCTCTCTAGTAACCAAGCTGACAGTGGCAGGTGTTGAGGGTGGCCGGTGTCACTGTTGAGGCCAGCGTTGAGTATAGACAGAAAGACCTTTATTGTTTAAACAACAACAGAGAGAGAGAGACATCTATTTCAGCCTACCAAAAACCAAAGAAACAAGATTGCCCCTGGAAGAAAGAGAAAGCATCATTACAGATAAGATCAGTTCTTAGAATTTGGCTGATTTCTCAGCAGTCTGTGGCTTCTCGCCGATGTAGCTAGCTGGTGTGTGGTAGCTGTCGTGCTGCTAAAGCTAGCTGTCGTGCTGCTAAAGCTAGCTCCTTATTTGACTGGGATCTTGCTGGTGTCTCAGAAGTGTTGTGTGATTCTGTCTTCTCAGGGAGATGTCTCATTGATGTTTCACTGTCCAGGTGTCTCACGGATGTCTTGTGGCGGATGCCTCAGCAGTAATAAAGAGTGAAATCCGATGTACGGAGTCGTATGAGTCTGTGTTGTTTGATGTGGTATGGAGGTACATGGTGCCTGGCCCAGGGAGTAGGAAGTAGTTGTGGTAGGGTGGAACTCTACTCTTCTACTCGTTGGGGATGCTCTGCAGGTAGGAGAGGATGTGCTGGATCTTGACCAGGCGTTCGCGCAGCGTGGTCATGGAGAGCACTGACAGCTGGTAGCGAGGGTCGATGGGCAGCACGGCCAGCAGCCACCAGCAGCAAGCCGGACCGTTGGGAGTTGCCTGGAATAGAGGAGGAGAGGAGGAAAGGAAATCACTGATAAGAAACATGATATCACTCACCCAAAACAATGGGTTGACAATGGACAGACAATGGCTTGTTGGCTATTGTTTTTTTGCTGGGCCACATAACATTTCAAAAGGCTTTAGGGGGTCACAGTTTAAAAAAGTGATTGGATAGGTTTAAACATTATCATCATGACTTTACCTTGCCATTTGATAGACTAGGTAGAATAATTGCCATGTTGGATACACCTATCCAATAATTTCAGATCTATAGGGGACTTGAGAGTAGAGGCTAGGGAGTCAGCCGGAGTTCAGTACATGGCTTACATCAGACAGATATGATGGAGACGCTTTAGATTTACAAGATGTACTAACTCATTTAGAGAGTCGGTATCTTAAATAGGTCGTCCTATAATTGAGCCAAGAATCTCAGAAAATGACTGATGTGGTGAATTAGCTTTCATCCAAAGCAGCTTGAACTTAATCTGCCACTTATTGGATGTTGCTGTGTCAGAGTTACATGTTAAACTGGGTTTATTATAAACTGGGTGGTTCGAGCCCTGAATGCTGATTGGCTGAAAGCCGAGGTATATCAGACCATATACCACGGGTATGATAAAACATTTCTTAATAGAAACATGCACGCACACGCACACACACACACACACACACACACACACACACACACACAGCGGAAATGTAACTTAAGCTTGACTATGGTTAATCCCCGGACACTCATCATTAATCCTATTATCTCCATACATAGCCAGGGTCTGCTCTAACCATCCATTATCCCAATTATATAACTGTACCATTCCAAATGTTCCATTGACAAATGCTATGCCTCCATTGGATATTGCCTGTCCAATTGTATATCTGCCTGTGTGTGTGTGTGTGAAGTAAGTGTAGGGGATGGGGGGGTTGTCGTAAGGACACACTTGTGACGTAACCTTTCCCCAGTGGATTAGTTAAGAATTACCCACACGGAGCTACTTCCTGTATGTAAACCTGGGTCGTATTCATTTAAGAACCAAATGGAAGAAAGCCTGAAACAGGGAGGGACTAAATGAACTTGTCCAATTTTCATACTCTGTTGCAAAACGTTTCGCTACAGTGTGCCCTAATGAATGACTCTGGAGAAGGGGAGGGGGAACACTATATGATGGGATGCGGTTTGTGTCTTAGCTCACCTGTATGTCAGGTTAAACCTGGTGGGGACACACACACACACACACACAATATGTGCCGGGGAAGCGGTTTTTGTCTTAGCTCTTACCTGGATGTCGGGCTCCCTCTCGGGCATGGCGCCAAAATGCTGAAGGATCTGGTTGCGGAAGCGGTTCTTGAGGTTCTGGAACCAGGTGCGCGCTTGTTCGTAAACGGCATCGTGCAGCTGCTGCAGCTGTGTCAACTCCTCGCCGTCTCTCACCTGTCAATCAATCAATCAATTCATCTTAACCATACAAGAGGGACAGTAGGTTTGAAAGCAGGGGTCACATGACAATGACAACTACATAGATTGCAGTGTAGCATTCACCAAAACACCACACTACCATAAACCATTAACAGATGGCCTCTGATAAACTAAAACACAATTTCGTTTTTACAGGAGGATTATTCAAATAAAAAAATTAGGCTAATTCAAGCTGTGCTAAACTTGTAAGCGGGTGTGAGTGGGAGTTATTCAAGGTATTCACACCTATGGAACATGGATTTCAATATAATTTTGTCTCTATGCTTTTGTGTTTTTTATTGTATAATTGAGTATTATTTTGTAATCCTTTCTTTACGAATAAAAATATTACCAAATATATTACCAAAAAAGACAGAAAACTCTCCATTGAAAAAACAAACATCCGAACCAGTATTTTTGAATAAGAGAACATGGGTTCTTACCCTGGTATCCTCCAGGTACTTGATGTCTGCGATGCAGTACCCATCCTTCATCCCACGGGTCAGCACTCGGAACCTCTTCCCTCCGATGGTGTCCACCACGGAACGCCCGTCTGGGAGGAAGTGGACACTCCTGATGATCAGCATACAGCCGTAGTCCACAAATCTGAGACAGGAATATTTTGAATTTTAGTTTGTTGTAATCATATAGTCATTTTGAGGTGATGTGTCAATGGTCTATATTGCTAAATTAAAGTTGCATACATAATTACATTTAGCAGGCGCTTTTCTACAAAGCGACGTAATCATGCCTGCATACATTTTACGTATGGGTAGTCCCAGGAATCTAACCAACTATCTGATATGAGGTTTTATAGTGTAATGATGTCATGTCATTGTATCGTGGGGACTAGGTTAGAGTTACTAGATAATTGGCTTGGTGCCACAGAGTCTACATTCCGTTATGTCAAAGGCGATTACTGATGTTTATGATATCATGATTGATGGACAGGATATACTGACTTGGGGTAAAGGGTAAAAACATCAAAGAATGGGAGTGCCCATGATGATTACCAGATGTTCGTGGAGAGACTTGTAACAGAGTGTATATATAGAGAGAGTGGATCTTTGTTCTGGAGTGAGGGAGATGACAGAGGCAAAGCTCTGTCCTTCTGTGATAACTAACCATGTTACCATATTAAATACTAATATGAAATCCCCATCAAAAGTGTCTAAGTACATCCTTACATTCGTAATCACTTGATACCCTAGAAAATCATCATAACACTATCCTGGCGTTGCAAGCGCCATGCTCTACCAACTGAGCTAAAGAGGACCACAAATATATTGTATATAGTCATTGCATAGTCAAATCAGACAGCCATTCAAAGCATTGTGACAATGTATTGGCTCATTGTAAGCAGTCAATTGCAGTGATTAGTCAATGGCCTATTTTGTTTAAGTGAAATTACACAGGGCCATTCCATAGTCAAGTCAAATGTCAGCATTCAACTCATTTGAGAGAAGGTACAGTGGCCTAATGAATATTGAAACACTTAAATATTAGCATATACAGTGGGGGAAAAAAGTATTTAGTCAGCCACCAATTGTGCAAGTTCTCCCACTTAAAAAGATGGGAGAGGCCTGTAATTTTCATCATAGGTACACGTCAACTATGACAGACAAAATGAGAAAAACTAATCCAGAAAATCACATTGTAGGATTTTTTATGAATTTATTTGCAAATTATGGTGGAAAATATGTATTTGGTCAATAACAAAAGTTTCTCAATACTTTGTTATATACCCTTTGTTGGCAATGACACAGGTCAAACGTTTTCTGTAAGTCTTCACAAGGTTTTCACACACCGTTGCTGGTATTTTGGCCCATTCCTCCATGCAGATCTCCTCTAGAGCAGTGATGTTTTGGGGCTGTCGCTGGGCAACACGGACTTTCAACTCCCTCCAAAGATTTTCTATGGGGTTGAGATCTGGAGACTGGCTAGGCCACTCCAGGACCTTGAAATGCTTCTTACGAAGCCACTCCTTCGTTGCCCGGGCGGTGTGTTTGGGATCATTGTCATGCTGAAAGACCCAGCCACGTTTCATCTTCAATGCCCTTGCTGATGGAAGGAGGTTTTCACTCAAAATCTCACGATACATGGCCCCATTCATTCTTTCCTTTACATGGATTAGTCGTCCTGGTCCCTTTGCAGAAAAACTGCCCCAAAGCATGATGTTTCCACCCCCATGCTTCACAGTAGGTATGGTGTTCTTTGGATGCAACTCAGCATTCTTTGTCCTCCAAACACGACAAGTTGAGTTTTTACCAAAAAGTTATATTTTGGTTTCATCTGACCATATGACATTCTCCCAATCCTCTTCTGGATCATCCAAATGCACTCTAGCAAACTTCAGACGGGCCTGGACATGTGCAGGGGGACACGTCTGGCACTGCAGGATTTGAGTCCCTGGCGGCGTAGTGTGTTACTGATGGTAGGCTTTGTTACTTTGGTCCCAGCTCTCTGCAGGTCATTCACTAGGTCCCCCCGTGTGGTTCTGGGATTTTTGCTCACCGTTCTTGTGATCATTTTGACCCCACGGGGTGAGATCTTGCGTGGAGCCCCAGATCGAGGGAGATTATCAGTGGTCTTGTATGTCTTCCATTTCCTAATAATTGCTCCCACAGTTGATTTCTTCAAACCAAGCTGCTTACCTATTGCAGATTCAGTCTTCCCAGCCTGGTGCAGGTCTACAATTTTGTTTCTGGTGTCCTTTGACAGCTCTTTGGTCTTGGCCATAGTGGAGTTTGGAGTGTGACTGTTTGAGGTTGTGGACAGGTGTCTTTTATACTGATAACACGTTCAAACAGGTGCCATTAATACAGGTAATGAGTGGAGGACAGAGGAGCCTCTTAAAGAAGAAGTTACAGGTCTGTGAGAGCCAGAAATCTTGCTTGTTTGTAGGTGACCAAATACTTATTTTCCACCATAATTTGCAAATAAATTCATTAAAAATCCTACATTGTGATTTTCTGGAAATGTTTTTCCTCAATTTGTCTGTCATAGTTGACGTGTACCTATGATGAAAATTACAGGCCTCGCTCATATTTTTAAGTGGGAGAACTTGCACAATTGGTGGCTGACTAAATACTTTTTTCCCCCACTGTATATGCTTAAACTCATGAAATGTTTGAATTGTCTTTTTCCATCAGGAGGATGCTTCAAAGTTGGATTTGATTTTATATTTCAGTCAAAGTCCTATTAGCTAGTATTTTCATAATTCTGCAGGCCCCGTCTCTCTCTCTCTCTCATCCAGGGTGTAACAGCATTTTAATTAGTTCTCCAGGGTGAGATGACACATTAGTGTGCAGCAGAACGGTGTGTGTGTGTGTGCATTTGAGTGAGTGTGTATGTGCAAATGTGTGTGTGCTTGCCTACGTGAGCAGGTGCTTGTATCGGGTGCCACTGTGCCTAGCACTGTGCCACTGTTCCTACCCTTTCTGAGCGTTGTTGATGCACATCCCAAACTGGCGCGTGCCTGTCTCCATGCAGCGGCGGATCATGAGGCGGTAGCGCGGTTCGAAGACGTGCAGGGGGCAAGGCACGGTCGGGTAGGCCATGGTGCACACGAAGATGGGGACATTCTTCATCAGGCTGCGGAGAGAGAGAGAGAGTTAGATGATGCTAAGACACTCAAGCATCTCTCACAAGTAAAGTGATACAAATTTGACATATGCATTCCAAAGATGAAGTAAAAATAGATATAAATATACTTCCATCTAACAGTCAGTGCTAACATTAGGTGAATCTGTCTGCTGTGTACCTGTCTGCTGTGTGTGTTTTGTATGATCTTTGCTGCATTCATTTTTTTTTTTAAGTAGGACAACCAGGGAGAAAGAGAAACAAGGGTTCAGAGAGAAGGCAGAAGCCATAGCAATACAATTACCAGAATGGACATTCTAGGTTAATTCTGTCAGAATTCTATGTTAGGAGGACAACTCACTCTGCCAGCTCTTGGGTCTCCTCCAGGTGAGTCTTCTGCCGTTCCGAATGCTCCTCAGACAGGTACTGCTTAATCACTCGGTCCAGCACACTGGTCACTGTGTACTTCCTGGCTGCTAGATACTGATGGGGGGGGGGGGGGGGGGGGGAGAGAGAGAGAGAGAGAGAAAGGAAGGAAAGAAGATTAAGGTTTTCTTTTTGAGGACATGCCATTTAAGAAGAAGTCTTCTCCAAGTTAATTAATTGTCTTATGTTCCCTATTTAGTGCACTACTTTTGACCAGAGCCCTATTGGCCCTGGTCAAAAGTAGTGCACTATAAAGGTAATAGGGTGCCATTTGGGATGCACTTAAGACAATTAACTTGGGGAAGACCTCTTCTTAAATGGCACGTCCTCAAAAAGAAAGCCTAAGGACTCCCTTCCAGTTCTAAGAAAAGCAGGCGCTTGGTCGTGGTTGGTGGCGGTGTCCTCTTACCTCTTTGAGGCTCTCCTTGCAGAGAGGGCACTGGGGTGTGTGGTCCAGACAGCGCTCCAGACAGTTTTTACAGAAGGTGTGACCACACGGCGTGGTCACTGGCTCGTAGAACAATCTAATGCAGAGGGAACACTCCAGGTCGTTGGGGTCCAGTAGGTCCCTGGGTACGACTCTGTGAGCTCGGGCTGAGGCTCCGTGGCTCGACGCTCCACAGGCCACTACAGAGGAAGCGACAGGAGAACGTCAAGCACTTCACACACACACCCAAGTACGCAGACGCATACAAACACAGACACAGCAAAGGTACGGCAGTGCAATGGCTAATGGGACCGTTGCTAATTGGTACTGTGACGATTGCGGCTATGCCACTGATATACAGGGAATGCATATTTTAGCTGCTTTAACCCAGGAATAATCAAATGTAAAACAATATAAAGAGCCAGCACTCAAGCTAAACCAGGGTTCCCCAACTGGCGGCCCACAGGTTATATTTGGCCCCCAAAGTTTTCTGACCCCCCCCCTCAAAATAAACGTGATCATATACAAATGTAAGCAAGGTTTGAAATAATTATGTCCTAGTCAAACATTATATCTGTTTGGGCTTATTGCGGTCAATTAGCAGTTTACAAACTATTTGTAATTACGTTCCGGTCCCCCGACCATCCGCTCAAGAAAAAACGGCCCGCGGCTGAATCTAGTTAATGATCCCTGAGCTAAACTATTCCCTTTCTATTTACGACAGCAGCAGTCTTGATTTTCACCTCCTTGTTTCTTATGCTTGCTCCCGTGGCTGTAGATGACATGGGGTCCGCCCTCGGACGCCGACAGCTTCCTCTTCAGCAGCATGCCTTTCTCCTGGTGCCCCAGCTGGGGCGCGGAACAGACACGTTTAAGACCCTCATCCAAGCCGGCCAGACCCAGGCCCGGCCCGTGGGCTCGCATCGAGCTGAGGCCCGAACGCTCCAGGCTCCCGGAGCGACCTGGTTTCTGGACGGAAAGAGAGGATGAGGAGGAGGAGGAGTGAGAGAGACAGTTAGAAAGTTAAAAGGAGTGTTAGACATTGTTGATGCATTTTAACTGAACAAACACCAAACTAATATCAAAACATAATTGACTTTGGAAACTTTGAAGGCTCCCTAGTGTTTCAGGGCTGTATCAAGCACACAGTCCAGTTAGCGTACCTCGTGTTGTGCGTTGGGGTGTGCCGAGGAGGTGCGAGCCTGGACTTGGTGCAGGGCAGGGTTTTTGGCTTCGGCCTGATGCTGTTGGGCTCTGGCCTGGGCGTCCGCTACCACCATTTTACTACGCAGGTGAGGCGATGTGCTCTGCGCCGTCTCCCTCAGTCCCACCTTCACGTTCTCGCCGGCCGGAGACAGCAGGTCGTACAGTATCTGTGGTACACATTGCATTAGCCATAGGAGCAGTGCAACTGGAAAGAAAATCCCCCAAAATGGCAGAATAGGAGCCTAGTTCACAAGGAACTTATAACACGATATCATGACAGATTCACATGAACAGTGTATTAAGAAAAAAAACTAAATAGTGGATTAGAAGAAGGTAATAATACAATAACAATATAACAAAATAACACAATATCATGACAGATTCACACTAACAGTGCATAAACATCCAAACTAGACAGTACAGAGCAGGGGACATAAGATGTGAAGCAAGGGTCAACCTCTTTTTAGGGATGCCCTCTCCAGTCAGACAGAGATGTAGTTAGGGGCTAAGTTTAAGGTCTTGAAGCAGTGGGGGGTCAGATGGAACGGAAGCTAGGCTATGCCAAGTACGTGTCCTCCGACTAGACCGCAATGCAGGACAGTGGCTAGCCAAGACTGGGAGTGACCACTGGCCAGCCGGACTAGTCTGCCATCCACATGGCCATCCTGGCACCAATGTGGATTTAGACGTAGAAAAACGTACTTGTCCACACAATGTGGAAATGTGGCTTTGGCTTCACAATCACATGATTGAGGTCAAAAACAAAAAGGTTCAATCTGCAGTAAGGTTCACTTGTAGGATATAAATATGTGTTGGTTGTTGCACCCTCTCTGTCACTCAACTTCCACTCAATTCCTCTCATCCTATGTATCAATGTTCTTCTCCTCCCTATAACTTCTTTTTCTCCCTTTTACGCTTCTGTGTTTCACCTTCTTTCGTTCTCTCAGAGTCCATTACATGTTATTAGATGCTGAAGAACACCCGGGCCCCATTCCAATCGCTATAAATCTATGTAATCCTCATCCATTCCGCTGTCCTCACAGACAAACAAAATGGCCAACTTTTGTATCTGGTAACCTGGGGCCCATCCAGGATCACAAGATGGGGAATTTGTGTTTACATCAGCATTTAAAATGAGATGTTTTAAGCACAATTTTGGAGTACCTTATGATATAAGCTACTCACTGTATTAGATGAGTTAAAGAAAACAGAAACACACCTTTGCTTAGGCACACAGACACAAACATCACACACAGGCAATCCCATATAGCTCTTTTCAATCAAACCTTGAGAGCCATTCAAATCCTCAACCAAACAAAGTTCTTCTTAAAGACTGAAACAACAAGAACGCAAATCCACATATCAACTACACGATCAAAGTAACACAGGCCTACTTTGTCACTCTACCAGAGTATTACCCTAACATTTCACATAGCCTCGGAAACCCTGTCAGCGATTGTGACCGGACAACAGTCCACAGTGTCTCTGACTTATGCAACCCTGCGTCGTCACAGTACTTTGTCTTAGTCCCAAATTACACCCCATTCCCTACATAGTGCACTACTTTTGACCAGAGTCCATAGACCATAGCCCCCATAGGTCTCTGGTCAAAAGTAGTGTGCTATATAGGGAATAGGGTGCCATTTGGGATTAAGCCTTTGTCTAGTGAGGCTAATGTCATTACAGGAGGGGAGAGTCACAAGGGCTGACGCACTGGAAAGTAAACCTATGTAATTTGATTACAGAAATGGCATGAAACACAGCCTTTAGTCTAAGCCTCAAAAACATGGAGTCTCCGCTGGGATGTGGTGTTGAGGGAGGGGGGAAAAAATGCTGACACTTTATTTGAACTGAGACACTATATGGTAATTTGTGAATACAGCATCATTAATTACTAGCTAAGACTTACTTCTTCGTCATGGGGATTCAATTGTAACAAATAACGTTAAGTCTCAACTGTTACCATGTACTTTCATAGTACATACCAAATAGATACAAGTGGTAATAGGAAAATAAAGTGTAACCAAAAAGAGTGGCAAAGCGATGGATAGGCCTAACTATGCCCATTCCAACTCTTATTCAACAGGGTGTCAACAAAAACAAGAAATACGCTTACTGCGCTCTGAACTTCCACTCAGTCTGACAGGTGATTCATCATGGAAGCAAAACTCACAGTGTATCGTAGTCACTACATTTTCCGTCACCCGCAAAACAGACGCTTTTCTCTATAAATAATGTGATTTAGTCATTAAGGCCACTGTCAGCCCGATATGTTCCATCTCTCACGCAAGCGCCTAAGGGTTTGATTCCATTAGGCCGATGCTAAGGATAATTACCTAGCTAGCCGACGCTAGGCTATCAGCAAAGGAATGGACACTGTGTTCCTTTTCATGGATGGTAAGCAAATCAGTGCCGGGAAACGCATGGCTTAAGTAAGACAAAATGGGGTACTCAGAGAGCACCTGGCTTCTTATGAAACGGCCTATGGCGCTAAGGGGTCTAGACTTCAAACGCTCCCGGAGATTTTTAAAAAACAGTATTTATACTAAGTTATAAACTTAGGCACTTCAATTAGTGATAGGCCTAGAGATTGTAAGGGTTGCACGTTCCCAGGAGCTAAGGGGGGGTGGGGGTCTATCATTGATACACAGAGAGGAGGTTTGGTCCAACAGAGCAACCTCTTCACAAAGAAAATAAAAACATTGTCGCCGCCAACATCAAGGCGGTGACCCGCTCCTGCAGGTTTCATGCTCTACAACATTCGGGGAGTGCGACCCTGCCTTACACAGGAAGCGGCGCAGGTCCTGGTCCAGGCACTTGTCACTCCCGTCTGGACTACCTGCAACTCGCTGTTGCTGGGCTCCCATGCCTGTGCCATTAAACCCCTACAACTCATCCATAATGCCGCAGCCCGTCTGGTTGGTTCAACCTTCCCAAGTTCTCCTCCACGTCACCCCCCTCCTCCGCACACTCCACTGGCTTCCAATTGAAGCTCGCATCCGCTACAAGACCAGTGGTGCTTGCCCTTTGGAGCAGTGAGGGGGAACGGCACCCCTGTACCTTCAGGCTCGATCAGTCCCTACACCCAACCGATGGACATTGCGTTCATCCACCTCTGGCCTGCCTGGCTCCCCTTCCTCTGCGGAAGCCACAAGCTCCCCCTCAGCCCCAGTCAAAAAACTGTTTTCGTGCTCTGGCACCCAATGGTGGAACAAGCTTCCCTCACGACCGCCAGGGACAGCGGAGTCACTCACTCACCTGTCCGGAGACATTTGAAACCCCACCTCTTTAGGAATACCCTGGGATAGGACTAAAGTTATTCCTTCTAACCCCCCCCCCCCACCCCCCCCCCCCCCCCCCCCCCCAAATTGTAAAGTGGTTATCCCACTGGCTATAGGGTGAACGCACCAATTTGTGAGTCGCTCTGGCTAAGAGCGTCTGCTAAATGACGTTAATGTGCCCTTGAGCAAGGCACTTAACCCTAATTGCTCCTGTAAGTCGCTCTGGTTAAGAGCGTCTGCTAAATGACTAAAATGTAATGTAAATGTATCATTGATACACAGAGAGGAGGTTTGGCTCAACAGAGCAACCTCTTCACAAAGAAAAGAAAGACATTGAGAAGATAAAATATCTCCTTGCTTTCTTGCCCTCAAGTCAAGTCCCAAAGCTTCCAGGAAGAGTAAGGGGACTTAACCATCACTGCCAAAGCAAATTAGTTCAACAACAACACTCTCCCTCCAACTCCTTCTCTCACCATTTCCACCTCTCGTTTGGCCAGGGTGAAGTCCTCGTCCAGGGCCAGACAGTGGAGGAAAAACTGCAGCGAGTCGTCCGCCTGGCCCATGTCCTGGAGCACCTTGGCCTTCCAGTAGAAACCCTGAGAGAAAGAGAGAAGGGGGGGGGGGTGTGGTGTATAAAGAGTGCAAGACTTCCAGTGGAGACTCTGGAAGAGAGGGAGAGATAGGTTATGTCGCTGCATTTCAACTGGACAATACTTTATTTGAACGGCAGCCAGAGGGTGAAAACGCTAGCGAGTAATGGTTTTTAGAGAGACGGAGAGAAGAGGACAGAGAGGAGGACGAGAGAGGAGATGAGACGAGAGAAGAGGAGTGACGAGAGAGAGAGAGAGAGAGAAGGGACCCTAGTTAGAACACAATGGAGGTAGCCTGAAAACAAGAGTCAACAAGACCTGGATCACTTAACATAAATTCAGTTTTGCCAGGCTTCACTGAATATGATTAACATACATTGCAAACCAGTTTGTCTTCTCTCTAGGAGAGGCATGACTCTTGTTGAGTAGCCTAGTTTGCTAAATTACACATTACCAACTAAATCAGCAGTTATGGGAAATACAAATTTAAATAAAAGATGTACCCTATGTGGCTACTAACCTCTCACCATTAAGAATAACAGGGGAGGTTAGCATGTCTTGGGGGTATGATCTTTGACCCTCTGTAACTTTCTCACACATCATTATTCACAATTAATTCAGGGTTATCCGTAATTATGGTAGCATCCACATTAATGTAGAAGTGTTTAGAAACATATTATATATTTTTTATTTACAATAAAAGTCCTTCCAAAATGACACAATACATTCTTTACCATTAATTTCTATTGGGCACAAAATTATCTGAAACACAACTAAAACTAACTACAAATGCATCCAACAAGTTTGTAGAGTCACAAGCTTGATGTAGTCATTGCGTGCTAGGAATATGGGAACAAATACTCAACTTTTGACTACTTTATTTATACGATTATTTAGGGGTGTCAATAATTTTGACCCTTACCTTTTGAGAAAAAATAAATATTACTTGTTAAACAAAATCTATTTCTCTGAGCAATTGTATTAGTATAAAATAATATAATTTCCCAAATTTCTTGAGCATACAATATAGATCAGTATTTCTATCATTTATTTTATACAGTCATTATTGCTCATCTTTATCAAGGGTGTCAATAATTTCGGACCCCACTGTATATTTCCACACTGTGAGGTTGGAATAATTAGAGTAAGAGCTGTTTGAAAAGACCGCCTGAAATTTCAGCCTTGGTGGGATGGAGTTTTGGCCTGCCTGGTGACATCACCAGTCGGAAAATTAGTTAATAGACCAATAAGAAAGCGAGTTCCAAACCTCTCTGCCAATAAAAGCTAGTTTTCAATTTTCCCCTCCCCACTCAGACCACTTCCAGACAGTCTTAGCAAAATTCTTGCTTGTGAAATTGCTCTTTGCTAAGAATCTATTTTTGTTAATTCTTTACCATTTTAATTGAAAACAATCACAATAATATTCTTAATTGTTACCCAGAAATGATTTGATATTAAGATAAAAACATCTGCTTTGGACCTTTAAAATAGCTCATGGTACAGTAAAAAGAAAGTGTGACCAAATGTGTAACAAACAAACTCCCAAATGAGAGGCTCTGAACCCTCAATCAAAAAAATTATGTAAAGGGAAACAAATCAACATTTGATAACAGACATCATTTCAAAAGGTATAGAAGGTTATACAGTAATATTCAATTATAATTTAATAAGACTTAAAAATAGAATTAGAGGACATTATAGTGAACAATGCTGTTTATAGCGCTAAAACGTCCTAAAATATATCCTACCGGTTGTTATTCAGGATGGCCTGCTAACACATTTAGACTTACTAACACCTGGCTGAGCCTCTAATCAGCCTCCACTTTCCCTCCATGACGCATCACACGGTGTAGTAAAGTGTGGAGGATATAACCGGAGCTATAGGCTTCTAGTTTACTATGTCAAAGCGCCACAGGGTGCCTGGTAAGGACTAAGGATAATGATAGTGCTGGGGAGGTGACAAGTAACTGAAGAAGCCCTCAGCAAACTTAAAACCTCCCATAACAACATTTGTTTTAATTTCCTAAATATTTATTTTTACTTGTGCCTACTGAACTCAACACACAGTTTCCCCCATTGGTCCAGTAACCTACCTCTGCAGAGTGGGTGGAGCTAAGACAAAGTTCAGCGTCCTCCAGGGCCAATCGGTACTGCCGGAGCCCGGTGTAGGCCTTGACCCGTGACCACCGCACTGCCTCATCCCCAGGATCTGGAAAAATGGAGGGAAGGATAAAGGAGGAGAGGAGAGATTAAAAAACAGAAAACTTTTACATTTCAGACAAAGCCCATTTTACAAATATTTTTTCTTTCTCAAGATCTGTCACCGAAGATGACCATAACTCTAGGGCAAAATATCTGTGTCATGAGAAATGCATACATTCAACATAATAGCAAATTATGAAGGAATGAAAGGCTACATCCATAGAAGGAATAATGTCAAACACATGACATGAAGACCCATAGACATTAAAACCAGCAGATAGTGATAGCACTTACGTCATCCACATTTTCGTATGGAAAACTCCCGATGGCGCATGAAGACGTAAATATTTGAATTTGAAGCGCGCCATATTGCTGAATAGGGCTGAATGGCACCAAAAAATTGCTAAGGATCATGGTCGATGTAGTCGTTTTCATCCTGCCTGAGAGAGGTAACCCAACGCTACTTTATGACGTCGGCGTCAATAACGGATAACACGTGAATACCATGTGCAAAGAGCGTGCATTAGGGAGCGAGCCTTTGCTTGTCATTATGAGGTATTGTGTGTAGATTAATGAGGGGGAAAAATGATATAATCCATTTTAGATAAGGCTGTAACGTAGCAAAATGTGGAAAAAGTCAAGGGTCTAAATACTTTCCGAATGCACTGTAAGTTAATGATCCAAGGCATGAAATCGGTCCAGAAGGCGTCTTAAATCAGTCCAGAATTGCCGGCAGAGAGAAAAATCCTGCAACTCTATAAATTGTTCTATGGAGCTGAGAGAAACTTCTGCAGTGTGAGAGCTAATTTCCTGCAATTCTACGCATTTTGCCATGGCTATTTCTGTGTTCTTATGGTCAAACATTTTAACAAAATCAATGGGGACCCCAATCGGGGCCCCTGGGTATATACCCAGCCATGCCAAAAATATTTCTAAATTCATTGTTTTTGGAATTTTCGACTCTCCCTGACTGTGATTTGGTGATTTCTAGTTCTCAAAGATTATATTATAAAACAAATATGTAGGTCAATTATATTTTCTACATACTTTCTGTGTGGGTTTAGCCATTTAAATTTAGCCAAAGTGTTTTTCCATCCCGAAGATTGTTTAAGAAAAATATATATATATATACACACACTTAGACCAGGTTAAGCTGCCCAGCTTTCAGCTGAGGTCATAAACTAGGCCTATCTGGTCTTCTATGATGAATGTTCAAGATAATGTGTGTTGCTGGCAAGATAAAAGACACAATGCTCTTCAACTAACTGCATCTCCATAGTTCAAAGTGGCTTCCTTTCCCGGTCTCCTTTCCTTCACCCACACTGCTCTGGAAGAATTCAAAGAGTAAAAGCATGACCCCTGGACAGGAGACACTGTCTGGTTTGCTTTAACCTATCATGTCTTTGTAGATCAGTACAGCTGAAGGACAAGGTCAAGGAAACTAAGCCCCATTAGACTAATGAGATGCACCCCCGGTGGGTTTTCCGTTGTATGGGGAAAAAGCCAGATTTCAATAATAACTGTGTGATTCACTTTACTAGAAGGGGGATCACTCCATATTAGCTTATGTGCTTCATGCTTGGCTAGCTAAGCAAGTCTCAGACAGATACAGTGATGTCATAGCGTTGGCAACTCTAGCCTGGTTCTTGCCGCTCTGCGGCGGTGACTGACTGTGCCACCAGCATTGGCACTGCAACTGTGTCACACGTCAGGGCTCCAAAAGTCACCTCAGCGAAGTCCTTAGCTGACGCAATGTGCGACACTGGCTATGGGCTCTAACACTTGCTACAGTGTCTCGCAGTTGCCAACATTTCCGCATTAAACAATGTTTAAAGATAAGGGCATAACTTTCCACCTCTAGACCTAACAATGTTCTTTGCGCTCAATTACTCAAATCAAAGAAAGTAGCTTTAGGCTACACTTATATGCAATAAGTGCTCATATATTTATTATTGGGCAATGGATAATTTGTAACCCCTTTATTAATAAGTGATAGTTTCATGTCAAGAGAGAGGGGGGCCTGTGCAGTTTAATGAGTTATCTTCAGTGACAGAGGGGCAAAGGTCTTGGAGGTGACATTATAATATGGCCGATGCCTCATATTTCTGAACAGCTGCGATTTGAACAAGCTTTCCCAAAATATATATGAAGGCTTCATTACAACCGTCTCATTCTGTTGTAACGGATATTAGCGTAGCACAAGCAAGACGCAGTCTACACATTGCAATGGGGGGAAAAAAATAGCGTTTTGTATGATGATGTAATCTTTATAGTTATGCTGCCATATAGCCAGCAGTCTGCTTCCTGTTTAGCCAATGTTTGCAATGACTGCCTGTCTGTGACTTGCTTGTTTGATATGCTGTGCAGGCTTTAGCTTCTGTTGCGCTTATGTTTACAATAGTATGCAGTGTATTTGTATTTTTTACAACAGTCAAAAAGAACTATGTTTATTCAAACTATTTTGTGTACAAGCGGCAGCGGAGTCACGGAGTGACTGAGCAGTAACCGAAAGGAAGTAGGCTAGTGGATCTAGCAGACATCTTTGTATTTTTAGCAACAGCAAGTCGGGTTCTAGAAAATCCGGAAACGCAGCCACTCCGTTGTTAATATTACATCACAGCATGAACAACTTCGGGTTGACACAGATATCTGTCATCTTTATGTTATACCTCCACACCCCCTTATTAAAATGTATAAACCTATACCAGTTTAGCATGGCCTAGAAGGGTGACTTTTTTACTCTTTTGCATTTACATTTCTTCTGAAGAAGAAACAGCTTCTGCATCATTTGGTCAACAACATTACAAGAGATTGTTAGCCTAATTTTTTCTCTGATCATTCAGTAAGTATTTACGTGACATTCTAGGCCTACATGTAGCATGTCATTGTGCAAAGCGTACTGCTCGATGTAATAACATGCATCTACATAGGTGCCATTAGAATTCCTGAGTAGGCCTTCACATTATGGAAAGCATTGCCTTGGTTAGTATCTGTAACTGTTGATCTGTTCGATTTCAGACTTATTTTCCAATAATAAATTACTTTCAGAGAAGCTTTACCATCAAACAAGGACTATGGCTGTCAAGGTGATATTTTGAGGTCGGTTCAGTTTCGGTTCTATTATTACAAAATAAAAATAAAATTGGGGGGGGGGGGGGGGGGGGGGGGGGTTCGATTATGTTTTTAAACATTAAATGCACTATGCATTATGTGGGTTGAATGCTGTAACAACACAGAATAAAACTATTAATAAAAGTCCCATGATGTTAGTGACTGCCCATTACTGCTTATCACTTATTAACCATCATTTATTCACATTACTTTAATAAAATATTTAAGTTGTTGTGTATATTAAATGTGTTTTATTTGATGACTTTATTATTTCATTCCAAGTCATCATCTCATTTTCAGGTAGAGATACTTAGCGAAGCAACTGCTCTCTATCCCTCTCTATTGCACATTATTCTATCTCTTCTCTCCATGTCTGCCCCACACTAACCTAACATAGCAGGCCTAAAAGGCTGCGTTTACACAGGCAGCCCAATTCTGATCTTTGTTCCACTAATTGGTCTTTTGACCAATCACATCAGATCTTTTCACATCAGATCTTTTCACATCAATATCTTTTTCAGAGCTGCCCTGATTTGTCAAAAAACTAATTAGGGGGGAAAATATATCTGAATTGGGCTGCCTGTGTAAATGCAGCAGAACAAACAAAGACTGGACAAGTAGGCACGTAATGTATTATGGTAATTTGTGGTCAATTACAGTTTTCTGCACTAAACTATGTAAAATACTGGCCTGTTGTAAACTACAACTCCCTACATCGCACAGTTTGGGCTTGATCTGTTTTTTTTCTCTAAAGAAACAGCATTGAGCTCATTGAAAAAAAAGAACAAAATGGAATTCAGATAATTGAACCGATGTTTAAAAACCGAAAAATAACCGAAATGTAGGTTAATCGCTCAGCCTTACCCATAGGAGACCGAATGCCAACTTTCTTAGGTATTAATTCAAGTATCACTTATTGTATGTCTGGTGTCATTAAAACCTCAAGTAATCTAATAATTTAAGGAATCTAGAAATAGGCTACAGCAATGACTATAGACTTCAGTGCTGTCATTTTCTATTGCCTTCAAAATATTTGCATTGACACTCTGCATTTTGACTTTTTAGTGTCTTATGCACCAGTAGAGACTTGGCAACATAAAGGTTTACACCCGTTTGTTACGTACAAATGCTATCACGTGAACTGCATCGCCATGCCTTGATTGGACAGCACATTTTGCCTTTTTTTGTATCTTTTTCGGACTTGAGAGGGGGCGAAACCTTATAAAGTTATTGTTTGGCAATCCCATCACCCGCTACTTAGTTACAAAACGTTCCACTGTGTCACCGCCTGCCTTATGAAACTCGCTGCTTGTGCGCATGCCCAATTTACGAAATTTCGTAACAGGGTGGCACGACCATTACATCAGTGACACGAAGGCCCAATTCTGATACTTTTTCCACCAATTGGTCTTTTGACCAATCACATCAGATCTTTTCACACCAGATCTTTTTCAGATCTGATCTGATTGGTCAAAAGATAAATTAGTGGGGGAAAAAGACGAGAATTGGGCTGCCTGTAAACGCAGCCAAAGAAGCTACAGTCAAACACATGACAAACGGGTAACCTTATTATTGGTCAGTGGAACTCCCCTTCCCTACTCTTTGATAATGAAGACCACAAATAGTATAAGGGAATGACTAAAATAACATTTTGTTTTCATGCTTTGACAGGTTTCCTAAATGTCTCATCATAGCGTACAAAACAAGGATGCGCAGTGGTGGTCTCCACAAGCCTTTCCTCCCCCCACTCACCAGATTCAATCACAGTTGTCGCTAGTGATACGGCCTCCTCGAAATGTTTCCTTCTAGACAGGTCTTCAATTTCACTAATAGCTCTAGACCTTTTCAGCTCCTCGGGAAACCACTTTTCCAAAAGTCCGAATAGAATCACATTCGTTTTAAGCTCTGTCGGCCTGCCTCCTACCTCGCTACACAACTTGCATTTGGAGAGCAGCTGATGTTGTAAACATCTTTTACAGTACGAATGTCCACAGCGGATAGTCACGGGCTCGCCTAGAAATTTATGACAATTCGGGCAGTCAAAAACATCCTCCTCCCCGGCGTTATCCATAATATGTAGCGTTCGTTCCGAAGGCGCCTCATCCTGTCCCAGCTTTCTCTTGAAGTTGCGCAGAATACAATCCACTAAAGTGCTCATCTGCTCCGGCCCTACAGAACCATATCTCAAGGCCATCGAGTAAACATCGATGGCTTCTTTGAGACGGTTTTCTGATGCCAGTGCATCGGCTTTTTGTAAAATAAGTTTGTGGTGGTCGACATTGTCCTGCTCCTCGTCCCAGTCGTATTCTGGTTCGATGAAGAATCCTTTTCTTTCTTCGACCGCGTCCTCTCCTTCGGGGTGTTGGACCGACATTGTAGGCTAGATGATCGGCATACAATGCAGGCCGGTTATTATAAATGTTTTTAAAAAATGTGTTTAGCCATAGCTGTAGCCTACAATGTGTCTAGCTTACGTGCCAGTAGAATTGGCAACATACAGGTGAACACCCGTTTGTTACGTAAAAATGAGATCACGTGAACAGCATCGCTGTGCATTGATTGGCCAGCACGTCTCGATTACAAAACCTGAGTTTAGAAGTTTCATAACTACTAAAAGGATCTGACGAAAAGTACGCAGACGCAGAGTGTATCACATTGAGCTAGCAATAAAAAAAAAGAGAGGCGCGAACAGCTCTTCTCCCTGTGTGATCACTAAATAATGCAATGGCGTCATTTCAGCTAAACCCAGGGAATGGCAAAGTGGGATGAGGTGGAGTGGGGGTGATTTCAAAGCCTCCAAGGAATTTTGGGTAAGTTGACGTTCATTTAGGCCTACTGCATTTCTACACAATTTAAAAACTCTAAAATGGTATTTAGAGAACAGCATAAACAAACAAAAATGGCCCCAGCCATTAATTATCACCGCAATATTAGGGTTTAAAGGTCTGTGGAACGGTTTGTACAATGTTAGCTACTCAACCTCATCATAAATTGACTCATTTACGTGTGGAACGCCGCATACAGTGCACAAAGTAAAATATGCATAATACACGCTATCAAATAGCAAGGCCGACTTCAAACATCAATGTGAAAGTAACTGATGCATAAAACAGTTGACCGGGAATGCAAACTATGCCAGATAAATCCTACACATGCCTTGAAATAAAATGCATATATCAAAGGACTGAGGCCTACAATCGACAGGGATGCATGAAGAGAAACAAACTCCACCAAATAATGACGGAAATCACGAAATACAAAAGGAAAATCTACACATGCCTTTTTGAAGGGAGCTAAGGCCCCGCCCATGATTCAGCTCTGTTGAATGGACAGCTCCTCCATACATTTAGGCATAGTGGAGCTCGTGGTGTGGTGCTGAATGGACAGCGCCTATGTTTAGGCCCCCTTTCAAATTTTCTCTACTTTTGCATATTTGTGATACTGAATGTTATCAGATCTTCAACCAAAACCTAATATTAGATAAAGGGAACATAAGTGAACAAATAACACAACAATTACATATTTATTTCATAAACAAAGTTATGCAACACCCAATTTCCCTGTGTGAAAAAGTAATTGCCCCCTTACACTCAATAACTGGTTGTGCCACCTTTAGCTGCAATGACTCCAACCAAATGCTTCCTGTAGTTGTTGATCAGTCTCTCACGTCGCTGTCGAGGAATTTTGGCCCACTCTTCTATGCAGAACTGCTTTAACTCAGTGAGGTGTGGGTTTTCAAGCATGAACTGCTTGTTTCAAGTCCTGCCACAACATCTCAATTTTGATTAGGTCTGGACATTGACTAGGCCATTCCAAAACTTCCAATTTGTTGCTTTTTAGCAATTTTCATGTAGACTTGATTGTGTGTTTTGGATCATTGTCTTGCTGCATGACCCATCTGTGCTTCATCTTCAGCTCACAGACGGATGGTCTGACATTCTCCTGTAGAATTCTCTGATACAGAGCAGAATTCATGGTTCCTTCTATTAAGGCAAGTCGTGTAGGTCCTGAGGCAGCAAAGCATCCCCAAACCATCACACCACCACCACCATGCTTGACCTTTGGTATGATGTTCTTACTGTGGAATGCAGAGTTTGGTTTTCTTTATAATGTCGAAATAAACATATCACACACTCACAAACTGTAATTATACAGTACCAGTGAAACGTTTGGACATACCTACTCATTCCAGGGTTTTTCTTTCTTTTTTACTATTTTCTACATTGTAGAATAATAGTGAAGACATCAAAACTATGAAATAACACATATCTTTTACCTATTTGGTAAAAGACCAAGTCCATATTATGGCAAGAACAGCTCAAATAAGCAACGAGAAACGACAGTCCATCATTACTTTAAGACATGAAGGTCAGTCAATATAGAACATTTCAAGAACTTTGAACGTTTCTTCAAGTGCAGTCGCAAAAACCATCAAGTGCTATGATGAAACTGGCTCTCATGACGACCGCGACAGAAATGGAAGACCCAGAGTTAACTCTGCTGCAGAGGATAAGTTCATTAGAGTTACCAGAGTTCAAGTAACAGAAACATCTCAACATCAACTGTTCAGAGGGGACTGTGTGAATCAAGCCTTCATGGTCGAATTGCCGCAAAGAAACCACTACTAAAGGACACCAATAATAAGAAGAGACCTGCTTGGGCCAAGAAACACGAGCAATGGACATTAGACCGGTGGAAATTTGTCCTTTGGTCTGGAGTCCAAATTGGAGATTTTTGGTTCCAACCGCCGTGTCTTTGTGAGACGCAGTGTGGGTGAACGTATGATCTCCGCATGTGTATTTCCCACTGTGAAGCATGGAGGAGGAGGTGTTATGGTGTGGTGGTGCTTTGATGGTGACACTGTCTGTGATTTATTTAGAATTCAAGGCACACGTAATCGGCATGGCTACTATAGCATTCTGCAGCGATACGCCATCCCATCTGGTTTGGGCTTAGTGGGACTATCATTTGTTTTTCGACAGGACAATGACCCAACACACCTCCAGGCAATGTAAGGTCTATTTTACCAAGAAGGAGAGTGATGGAGTGCATCAGATGACCTGGCCTCCACAATCCCCGGACCTCAACCCAATTGAGATGGTTTGGGATGAGTTGGACCGCAGAGTGAAGGAAAGCAGCCAAGAATTGCTCAGCATATGTGGGAACTCCTTCAAGACTGTTGGAAAAGCATTCCAGGTGAAGCTGGTTGAGAGAATGCCAAGAGTGTGCAAAGCTGTCATCAAGGCAAAGGGTGGCTATTTGAAGAATCTCAAATATAAAATATATTTTGATTTGTTTACACTTTTTTGTTTACTACATGATTCCATATGTGTTATTTCATAGTTTTAATGTCTTCACTATTATTCTACAATGTCAAAAATTTTAAAGATAAAGAAAAACCCTTGAATGAGTAAGTGTGTCCAAACCTTTGACTGGTAGTGTATGTGTACATTGTACTATCAATTGGGGAGAGAAAGCTTCAAATATCACATTCATTTGTGCATATCCACTGTATACATATGAATCGCGGCAAAGTTGCTTGCAGGCGATGGCTGCAAGTTGCAGCTGGTGAGGAGCAACTGCAGAAAATTGAAGTAGACTGCAATCAAAACTTCATGACCGTTGATCACATGCTTGTTGTGAAGTTCATGAAGTCGACATGTAGGCGCAAGTCTGAATATTGTTATCTTCATAATGCAACACACTTTGAAAGGCGGTGAACAACCATTGTCAAAAGTGACAAAAGTGATCCACTTGAACAAAAGGCACACAGGGTGGCAGCTGCTCTCCGAGCGATGCTCCGCATGGTCCTAAACCAGCACGAGTACGCGGAACAGCCGTTGCATTTTCATCGGGATTGGAATGATTTTAGTCTATTCTTTATTTTGTTGCCTACTTTACATTTTTGGTATTGAGCTAGGGTATACCAAACTGACGCCCCTGTGTATGTTTCTCATATCAAAATAATGACTGCGCACAGAATGCATCCCTACGCGTCTTACAAATAGAATATCAAACAGAGTTCAGAGCGTAATGTCAGATATGTCATATCAGAATGCTTCATCCAACATCACGTGTAACCAGCCATTAGCCTACTCAGCTGCTTCTCTCCATCCATTCTTTCTGCGCATCTCCATCAGTTTTAAAATGTTATTTAGCTGTGATGGCAAGCTGGGGTGTGCATAGAGTGATGGGCTTTCTGTTGTTGTTATATTTGTTTATTTATTGGAGTGAAGTAGATACGTATCTTTTCATTTCATCTGTAAGAATGTGCAGTAACAATGTAACACCAAATGGATTTGGATTGATTACAAAAGTGTAAGAGGGGTTATGTTCAGTCTTAATTTGAGCCAGATCCTGCCGGAACAGGATCCGGCACCTCTCCGTTTTGGACTGTTTTGTTCTGGAACCTATTTGCCGAATCCGGTACCTCTCGAGGCATGACAAATAATTTTCACATTTTACAATGTAAAAATTCGAATAAAAGCGATCAAAGTTCATTCGAGTTGACTCTTCCTTAATTTTCCTGCCCCCACAAAAAAAACGTAATGTGAAAAGGTTGATTTTCAGCACGGGCCTAATATTCTAAGTTGATTCGGGTTGGGCAGGCCCGGATTTATGGTTTGAGCAACATTGTAACCCATGTTTGAGACCAACGCGTGGCTGTGTGAGAAGCACGCCAGTGTCTCTCACACAAATAGAATGATATTCACTTACTATGATCTCTCTCCCTCTCTCTGCTCTGATAGACATGAGCCTGCAACTCTCATCTCTCCAGCGTTGCACTTCATCATTTATTTCCTTATAGAATCATAGCCGCGCGAAGGGTTCTGGAGGAGCTGCAGCACCCTTGATAAATTGAAATAAATTTGCCAAACTTCTAGAATTACTGCTGTCTGTTCAGAAATAAATGAAATAATTCAGAATAGCCTACTACACCATGAGAAGGCCAATAATTTAGCCACAGAGAATCAATTGCTTCTTTAAAAAAATAGCCTAGCTGTGGATTGTAGCCCAATAACAAGGAATAGCCTACAGTCGGGAACAGGCCTTTCGCAATATTTAAAATGCAATCAAGGGAAAACACAGGTTGGAAAGCAAATGGCTCCTGCTGAAAAGAGAAGACTCTATGCTGTAGGCTACCAAAATATTTGATCAACTTCCAAATATTGTTTTACGAGAGAGAGCGAGAGATAGGCTTTTGGCACGAGCGCATTGGCAATCACCAGCGAGTGCATCATTGGGTGAGTCAGTGAAACTGGACAGCATTTTTCTGACTATAATTTCCTCCTCATATTGTAGCCTACAATATGTGTCTCCACACATCTAGGCCTAGGCTATTGATGGATTCAAGACATGGTCGTTTTTTATTGATCTCAGATTCTCAGTTCGTCAGTGTCAAAGTAGCCTTCCATTTCAATTATTTGTGTGTATTAAAAAAGGTTCTACCAAAGTCTCCAGTCATGTAAAATGACGTAGAATTACATGAAATGTGTTCATAAAAGGCCACATTTTTCCCGGACCCTAGGCTACTAAAAATG